CTCACCCCAGATGGTAGCTGGGGTATAGAAACTTGGCTTTGTGTCCGTTGGAGCAATTCCTTTGCTAGCCTTGTTTTAGTCCGCTGCATTTCCCTTAAATTGCCCAAATTAGCACATAGGGTTTGGGTTTTGTTTGGGAACTGCATTCAAGCTCAAGGGGCCAAAATTAGGGAATGATTGTTTTAGCCTGAGGGTTCGGGCGTAGAGGCGTGAAATTGCATAGGAGCCTCACGATGTCAATGCAAACACGACTTTCGAAACATATTCGAGGTTGAGGTAGAATATGCAAGGATCAACGGAGAATCGTTGAATATCGCAACGTTGTGGCATTTCTGCAGCGGATGCACTACTCGAAGCCTGGTCTCAAGTAAGTGGACCTACATCTATTGCTTCCGCATGCACTCCATGCCCCTTAAGATCCTAAGCAATACCTCAGACACCCTTTCCTCTTCAACGCACTGCTAGTGCATCCACTTAGGTTCAGAGGTTTGAAAATTGACTGTGCACCTAAAAAAAGTTTTCGACTTTGGAATTCCTGGCAGGCTCCCAGATAGGTCTTGATGACAACCATTTGCTCTTTTCAGCAAGTTTGAAACGCACAGCCGACCGGACAGAAGATCCTTGTGAGGACCCAACAACATCCAAGCAAATTTGCGAAGCAAGACGCTGATCATGGCCTCTCATTAGGACAAGAATGTACTTGGGACCTGTTGAAGCAGGATTAAAGACTAGGGATTTCGGGTTGGGGGTGGTCTGAAATAAACAGGTGGTTCGCGAGGCAAGGAGACACAAGAGCCCTAAAGACGCATGCGAGCTGAAGTTATAGGCCTCGTGGAACAGAAGGCACAATCAGGAGACATAGGGTAGGAAACAATCTCGGCAAGGCTCTAGTTGATAGAATGCGCTAGCAGGGTCCTCAACAAGTACCGCTAAGCCGTGAATCCTAAGCTGGATTGTTGTCGAGGAACTTAAGCTAAGATATTACAATCAGGAAAACCTATCAACTACCATGCAACCAGGTCATGGTAACTGATGGTAACTTAACTTAAATTCCTTAACAGCAACCCAGTAAGTATTGGCATCCTTTTTTCGAATGCTGCGCCCCAAGCATCTCTGGAGGACTCGGCGGTAAACGCGCCGGACGACAGCCCGTTTGTCCCCGACGAAGGCAAGTTGCTTAAATCGAATGTTGAGCTCGGTTTAGGGTATGGGGTTCATCGTTTGCTTCTATTGTTGCTTAAAACAAGCCCAGGGGATCCAAGTATGCAAATGGTACCTNNAAAGTCTGTAAATATGACCTACATGTTTGTTACATTCCTAGGGAAATATTGAGCCTCTAATATGGCCCCAACACCTTCGAGGAAGGACCATGCCCACAGAATCCCACAAAAACAACAAAAAAAAACGGGGTCTGGTACTATGACGGGTTATGGGCCGCTTGTTTCTGCAGTGCGGCCCACTGGTCGGGAAAAGTCAGGCTACAAGTATCTCTCATAAGATTGTTTCCGCTTTGAGTTATCCTACTTAAGCTCCCAGTCATAACAACCTATGAACCTCCCAAGCAGGCACCATGGCGCTGGCTTCTGGTCTAACTTCAACTCCTGATCCTGCAGCGGGGCCTCCTGACTTGCCTGGTGGCACAGGCCAGGAGGCGGCCCGAGCGTCTCAAAGCGCAGGCCCTCCTTCAGGGGTAGATTCGTTTTTTTTTTTTTTTTTT